CCTCTGATTGGTTCTTGAGTTGTTCCAAGGCCTCTACCCGTCTCTCCCTCAGCTTCCCGTGTAAACGAGTCTGTGGTTCTGCTAACTTGTCCACGTCCCTTTGAGCCCTTTGAACAGATGTCTCCAGACTAGCTTTTTTGTTTTTTAGGTCTGTGATATCAAGAGATGGGAAGAAAAAAAGAATGTTTATCTCGCTTTCATATCGTCAGTGTTGTAAGCTTTGAAACTGATCTGCGTGTTTGTAATGTGTGTGTGTCAGTCCTCCTCTTAAATCCTCTACATGGACTAAATGTTTAGTCAAACATTGCCTTTAGCGTTTTACCGCTAAGGAACTTTAATTTTGACAGAAAAAAGGTCATCTTCATGTCCGTATGGGAGTAGCAACACCCTGTCTCTTCATTGTAATACCTTATAACATTATCATGAAGACCTTTACAAGCACTATCTCAAATCCCATTTTCGATGATTGCCCTGTGCTCTGCACTGAGTATGAGTCTGCACTTTATTCACAGAAAGAAATTTGCTCCCCAGTTTCGTTGAGTTCCTACCATAATTTTAGAAAAACTGGCTGGCATTTTGACAACTTGCGCATACTAAAGCGCTAGTTGTGAAGTGATCTCAACGGCCAATCACCGTCCAAAAAGAAATATCACAAGGAGCCAATCAGTAATCGAAGCAAAGACGAGAGATATGCTTGAGGCGCGGGAAAACGCAAACGACAAAGTCGCGACTGATTTAAGCTTTACATCTGATTGGTCGAGAGGGTTGCGCAAAATTTCTACGATGAAAGGAGAACTAATACAATCATAGATTATTTTCGACATTCAACTGAAAATTACTTTTTGTTATGACGTTACATACCGACTATGTTCTTCTTTGTCGTGTCAAACTCGTGTGTCCTTTCTTTAAACTGAACCTCGAGATCTTTGAAGATTGGCTGCAAAGGTAAGAACGCAAATCATCGACGAGTGATCCACAGAGTAACCTTCATGCTAGAGCAGACTAAAACGGACGGCGATGATTCATGTAGTTAAATTGACAAGGACCCTTAGCAGGAAATTGTACCTCAGCGAGTGTTTTTCAACTTGAGTCTTCTTCTTTGCTAACATACGGTGAAAATCAATTTTTCTTGGAAAAGCGCATTCGTTAAAGAGAATCATAGCAGTAAACGCGAGATATCATTCTTACGGTTTTGTCCTGAATTATATCTTTTTTCTTGTCCCTCTCTTTCTTCAACTTATCAATACTTTCCTGTAATCAAATAAAATTGATGTTAAAATTTGAAGAAGTGCGTGGAAGAAGTTTCAAACAGCACGCAAGAGCGGAAGTACGGGGAAATCTCGTAATGAACAATTTTGTATAGTTTTCTACCAGATTGATAAAAAATCCCAAATTTCGCCCTCATTCGTTGGATCCACTTAATGAACTCTATTATGCAACAACAGAACTGAACACGTTAGACCAGCTTACTTGAAGAGCTTTAAGCTGAGTCTTGAGCTGCTTTTGAAGTGAAGTGTAATCGTGTTTTGCTTTCTTGAGCTGTTTCTGTTTACTGATAATGTCCGCTTCGTCCTTCTTCAAGTCTTTTTGCAGTTGAGTCCCCTGCAGTAGGAAAAAAAAACCATACACATTAAGTAGAAAATAAAACGCAGTCAACTCAAGCGCTGGGAAAGCCGCTGACCAAGTCATTACTAGTTTTATATAAATTTGCAACCTGATTGGTCGAGGGGTTGCCGCGCGTTTTCAGAACCAATCACATGGCAAGGAAAAGCACAACCAATGAAGTCCTGAATTTTCAACTTTGTAAATACAAATTTCGGACTGCATTATACTCACACGCTCTGTTAACCTGGTATGCTCCGCTTTCCCTTCAGTGACCTTCTTGGACATTGTTGCCATATAGCGTCCATATTCGCCTTTGAACTCGTTAGACTCCTTCGTGACATTGTCTCTTTTCTTCTGTAAAACTTGCCTGCAGTCAAAAACGAGATTGATTTAATATATGAATCCCTACACACGATGAAAGTAGCCATACCCGGTAATTTTTAGGCGGATCCGATTCTAGAAC